AATAATGAAAAAAAAAAAAAATGAAAATAGGTGGGGGCGGTGGTCAGCTTGCGCCTTTGATAACCTCTGGCTCGACGGCAGCAGCGGCTTTTCACCGCAGCGCGCGCGAGCAAGCGGCCGACCCTACCATGCCCCGCCACGCGCTCATTGGCCACCGCGGCGAGCGGGGTGAAAAGCGCATTATTCCATTCCGGGCACGCGATATGATCGCCCCTCCCCCTTCCGCCCCTGCCACCACCACCACCACCACGACCGCGAGAGGCCAGGCAGGCGCCGCCAGGCCTGCCTGCAGGAGCACGGCAGGAGGGGCCGCGCGGATAAAGCTGGCAAATCGGGTCATAGCTGCTGCTGCTCTGACGTAATTGCCGGGGTGCTCGCGGCTCATGGCTCCGCCGCGTGGCTCCGCGCGCGCACCCCGCTGCTCCGGCGGGTGCTCTGGGGCGCGCGGGCTGCGGGGCGCGTGGGCGCGACCCGCTCGAGGGCACGAGGTCGCGGGGGCGCGCGGTCGCACAGGCGCAGCGCGCGGCGCAACTGTTGCGGAAGTGCGGAAGTATGTGGGGCGCGGAGGGGAGGAGCGGGGGTTATGGGGGATGCGTCTCCTAGTGGTGTGGCGGTGAAGGGGCCCCCGCTGCCGCGCGACATACGAGCCTGCCTGCAGCAGCCTGGCGGTGGTGGGTAACTAACCCTAACGAACGGGCAGCACGCCCACGTCTGCACGGGCTGCAGCGGCAGGTGGGCGACGCTACGGTGACTCCCAGTCCGTGGTGGAGGTGGAGGAGTTGGTGGTGGTGGAGGTGAAGGAAGTGGTGGTGGTGGTGGTGGAGGTGAAGGAGGAGGTGGAGGAGGCGGAGGAGGTGGAGGAGGTGGAGGAGGTTGTCCAGGTGGTCGATGTGGTAGTGGAGGTGGAGGAGGAGGTGGAGGTGGTCGTGGCGGGGGTAGTGGAGGTCGTGGTGCTTCTGCTTCTGGTGGTGTGGGCGTGCATTATGGCGCGGCACGTATAACCCGGAGGAGCTTGCTTCACGCGACGGCGTTAAAAAATACGCACACACTAACACATGCTCAGTCTCTCTCTCTCTCTCTCTCTCTTACACACACACACACAGCGACTTTTATCGCGGCCAGCGTGGCCGTGCCGCGGCCGTTTATCGTGTCGGTGATGGTACACAACGAGCTGAGCAAAGCGGATCCGACGGGAGAAGGGCGGGAGAGCGGAGCGGACGTAAACGAGTTAAAAATGCGACGGCGGGAGAGAGGAAAAACAATTCAATTCGAGGCGCGCCGCGCGAGAAAAGAGAAACCGTCGCTGAGTGAGAGAGAGAGGTAGAGAGAGCGAGGGGGAGAAGGAGGAAAAAAAAGAGAAAGGAGAGGGAGAGGGAATGGAAAAGTGGACGGGGTGGGGAAAGGAGAGAAAAAAGTGCAGTGAGCAAGGGAAGGACGCAAAGCACTAGCCGCGGTCGCGAAAAACAGGAACATAGCCGTAGGCTCTGGTTGCCGACGGCGGAGCCGGGGTGGGGCGTCCTGGTGAGGAAGGAGTGAGTGTGGACGCGCGGAGAGAGGAGGAGGGAAGGGGGACCAGACCAGGAGAGTGGGAGAGAGGGAGGGAGAGAGAGAGAGAGAGAGAGAGAGAGAGAGAGAGAGAGAGAGGGCGGAGAGACCGGAGGAGGAGGGGGGAGGGAACGAAAAACACACCGCTGTGTCACGGCCAGATAAATCGGCGGTGCTATGAGGTGCACAGTACACCGGCCCTGGGAAACAGATTGGGCTGGGGCACCGGGAGGGAGGGAGCGAGGGGCCCGGGGGGAGTGGAGGTCGGAGAAGGCGAGTAGGGCGAGTAGTGGAGAGAGATGGCGACAAACGGGCAAACGGGAGTACGGGAGGAGAGAGGGGAAGGTGATGGAAACCGGTCCACGCCGCCGCCTCCTCGCGGGTAACCCCGCCTCGCCCGCCCCGCCCTGCTCAGGCATCGCGACTTGGGATTATCACCGATTCCCGGGAGATATGGCGGTTTTAATTAAACGGCATCGTGCTGATCGTGTTACGCAGATACAAACTTTGGCCATGCGTTTCCCGCGCCCCCAAGTGCGCCCGCGTATGTGTGTGTGTGCCACGGCGGCACCCGCCCCGCGGACCGACCGGGTTCGGCACCACTGGTGGCTGTGGATATGAGGGGTCTTAAATCGCAGGATGATATTGGCCATGTTCAAACGCCGGGCCCGCGATCCGAGAGCACGTGCATAAATCATGATAGAGGAGTAGGAGAGAATGGGGAGGAGTGGGAGGAGGGGGGTTAGCGCGCGCGGCGCTGCTGGCGGTTGCGCCGCATCGTCGGCCTGCGCGCCACTTGCGAGACGAGACGAGACGGGGGTTTGTAGCGCGCAAGGCGCGCAGCAGCAGCAGCAGCAGCAGCAGCAGCAACGGCTGCCGTAATATACATCAGTGTGGTCGTGAGTGACAACAACTGACGCGGCCCGTGCTCCAGCAGGTGGCGCCCGCAAGGGGGCGGGAGGGGGAGAGGAGGAGGAAGTCTCGTGATCAATATCAAGAAGACTCTCCTCGCCCGGGGTAAAGTGACAAACCTTGAGGAGGTGCGCATACGAAACAAAAGTTATCACTTCGAGGGAGGGGCCTACTCGAAAAAAAATAATCATGTACACAAATATAACCTAAAATACACAAAAAGTACCCCAGAATACGCACGGAAAAGTACAAGAGAAGAGAAGTACAAGAAGATTAAAGGAAAACACGATTTAGACGAGTTACTTGGCGGGGGTAATTTCATATAAAATACCCACAAATGTAACCAGTTTTAAACAGTACCCAAGAGGGTGTCTATACCAAAAGGCTATCTATACAGCAGCGCAGAGCGTATCGTTTTTTCACTTGTTTCTTTTAAAATTTCACTCACCGAGAGCGTTGTAAGGGTGAAGCATGTCGGGCTGCAGGTGCGGCGGCAGCGGGTGGGGCGCGTGGTGGCTCATGGGTGGGGACAGCGCCTTGCCGCCCGGCGGCGCCCGCCGCATGCGCTGCGGGCCCGGCGTTCGCTGCGGCGGCGGCCCCGCCCCCGGCGGCTGCTGCTGCTGCTGCTCCTGCTGGCCGCCGCCGCCCTGCTGCCGCTGCTCGCCCTGCTGCAGCACCGCGTCCTCCTGGCCGATCACCTGCCCGTCGTCCTGCTGCGGGGACAGCAGCGCCTGCCGGACGGAGGGGTGTCGTTAGACGCGTCGCTTCCCAGACCACAGGAGTAGTCCAAACAAAATTGAAAGGACAAAATACTGGTTTTCGCAGCGGCAGAGAATATTTAGAAAAAAAAAATTACACACATTTTTTTTTGTCTTAAGAAAACAATAGTAAGCACATCGGGTCAGTCAGGTCGGCCCACTTTCCCACCTGCTTCTGTCGCACAGCCTCGGCCTCCGCGGCCGCGTCGGCCGGGTTGCCGGTGCTGTGGCGCGGGCTGTGCCGCGGGCTGTGGCGCGGGCTCGGGGTCGCGGAGCGGGACGCGCCCGAGCGCCGCGACGTCGTGTCGTCGCCGCCGTTGTCGCCGCCGTTGCCGTTGCCGCGGCCGCCGCTCCCCGAGGAGCGCGTCTTTTTCCGCCGCCGCGACTTCTTGCGCGTGTAGCTGGCCAGCAGCACGCCCTTGCGCGAGTCGATCTTCTTCCGCGCCTCCTTGCCCTTCTCCAGCGTCTTGATGGGGATGTGCGACGGGTCGAAGCTGAACGTCGAGTCGTCCCGGTGGTCCGTCAGGTCCTTGCGCCGCTCCTGGAAGCAAACCATTTAAAAATATTAGGTCAGCGCGATAGTTAGCCGAAAGCGCCGAGAACGGCAAAAACAAAGTTTTCTGGACACACAAACAAAGCAAACTTTCCGCCATAACGCCGACGCTTCTCTATTCGGTGTGTTCCACATGAGGAAGTTGCATGTCACGCTGTACGCTTCCTATATTCGCAGAGTATCGAAAGGTGTTGCGGCACCAAGATAGAGCGCCCTTGAGGGGGGAAAAGCCGCGAAAGCCCGAAGCCGCAGAGCAGAGCCACATCGATTCGGGCACAGCAGCCAGACAGCGCGGAAACAGTTATTGAGTTCTCTACCCGTAAGCCATGCGGTGTCCTGCGCTCTCTCTCTCTCTCTCTCTCTCTCTCTCTCTCTCTCTCTCTCTCTCTCTCTCTCTCTTCTCCCATAAAATCTTCTACCACCTCGTAATATCCAATCCATTGTGACGGTACAGCTCCGCGGCGGTGCATGGCGGCGGCAGCAGCGTCTCTCTCGAATGGAATGCAAACGATTTTACGCTCGCCCAAACCCGTCCCGACGGCGGCACCGACACCGACACTGCCACCGACACACCATAGCATCAGCATCAGAAGCAGAAGCAGAAGCAGCAGCAGCGTTGAGATAAAATTTCTCCCCTTTCGCTACCTCGTTTATATTTATCCTCACCGAAACATCCGAAAGGGGTAAGACACGACGACACACTGCGGCGCCGGTAAAAACGGCGCGTCCCGGGAATGTCCCGGTGGATACGAACAACAACGGCGGGGAGGTTGACGGAGCACAGTGAAAAATATCGTCGTTAATTTACAAAGTTTTTGTAAACTTGATTTGTAATTTTACGTTGTAAATTTACGAGAGCATATTTTTTATTCGTCTATGGATTTTAAGTCGATACGTATTGCATGTATTTTTACGATTACAAATTGTGATTTTACAACTTGCGTCAAGGAAAAATTTCCTGTAAACCT